GGGAACGGCTATTTCCGGCACACAGTAGTGTCGATAATCGTTGGAAAGTCGGAAAAATAATATAGTACTTTACATATTTACCTAATATAGGCTAGTATGCTATTCACGCCAAGTAACATTAATTAGTAGTTGAAACTCACTGTGTTTAGCGTTATTACTCGTTTTTTCGTTCATTCGAGCGCTTTTGACGAATATATATTTCCGTCGTCTTCAGGCGAATAAAATGTTTTAATCGAATATGAACGTTCGATAGAAGAACACATAAATTTAAAATTAAATAATTTTCCATACGATTCCGCAACGGTTTGAATTACGTGCGATGTTACGAATATGATGTAATATGGCGCATGCGTGGTACTGCTTCCTGTCAGTGACGTGACATATGATGTAACTCGCCGTTTAATCGGCGAGTTACATATGATGTATGGCCGATGTAACTCAAGGCTTCTAGTCTCAAACAAAGACAAAAAGTTTGTGCTGTGTAAAGAAGACGATTTTCTCCTTAGAGCCAACGAGTTTCTTTGCCAATCCCGTTCCACAGTAATAAGTGAGGATCCTACACCAACGATCCTACGGAAAACAAGGAGAATCATTGCCCTACCAGGAATAGTATCATCACTAACTGGATGTCTTGACCCCCCCACCCAATGTTGCATGTCCCAGGTTATTTTTTGAGCCAAAAACACACAAGGTGGACTGGCCATTACAACCACTAGTCAACAAGAGATTGCACCCCACCTACTTTTTAGAAAAAGCACTCGCTAAGTTTCTACGTACATTGATTCCAGATTCAATGTATGTTACTCCCTCATCCTTGGCCGCCAAAACTACCATCACTGCAAGCATTGGCACAGTGCAAGCAAGTACCTACACCTTCTATAAATTAGATGTGGTGGCCTTGTATCCTTCGGTGCCGACGTTTGAAGCTGTAATGCTGGTCAATTCGCTACTCCTTAAGAAGGGCTTTAGTGCCCAGCAGATATTGGACGTACGTGATGCGCTGTTTTTCATCATGGAACAATTATTTTCGTTTCAATCAAAAGATTTATTTACAAAAACAAGGAGTCCCCATGGGTTCCCCTTTATCTGCCATCCTAGCAGAGCTCGTCATGAGAGAAATTGAGCATAGAACATTTGATTTCCCTCTTACCATCCTTTACCCACTACTCTATTTACGATATGTGGATGATATCCTCATAGCCTGGGAGGGCACCGATGAAGCCTTTTGCACCTTCATGCAGAATGTCTCTAATGTATATCCCTCCATCAATTTTACGTGAGAAAAAGAAAGTAGTGCGGCTATAACTTTCTTGGATCTATGCGTACGTAGAACCTCGGAAACATTACTTTTTTCAGTTCAACATAAGTTTAACATGCTACCTTACATCATCCCGGCAAATGCATTCCAACCTGCACGTTATGTGGATGCCGCCATAGCCGCCCTACTAAGAAGAACGTTTTTGCTGCCATCAACACAAGATCTCATAAACAGTGAATTAAGCAATATTAGTTTAGCAGTACGTGCAGCGGGTTTCTCATGTGCTAAGTACACACATTTACTCAACAAAGTCAAGAAGACGCTATTTCCAATCTCTACGCTAACTAACAGGAGGGAAGTTATGCACGTACAACCAGCCTTACCATACCTCGGTCCGCTTTCTCTACGCATTTGCCACATATTTAAACAACATGGTCTGCTCCTGCCCCTGTCTCCGTTACCTAATTTGCACAGATTGCTCTGCAATGACCGAGACAAGCTTTCCACCCTTGAGAAGTCAGGAATTTATGCGGTTCCGTTAGAAAATCCCGTAACGGGGAATAGCACGAGATATATTGGGGCCACAGCAAGAATGTTGGCTACCCGCCTGACCGAACACCAAGATGATATAGCAAAAAGAAGGTGCAGCACTGAGCTCGCAAGAAGAGTGTGCGACATGAATTATAACCCATTATGGGCCCACTCCACCATACTCAGGGCATGCAACGACCGAAGACTACTCTATATATGGGAGTCACTATATATAACATCATTTGAAACGTGCAACACACCTACTCTGGAGCTGCCAAATATATGGATCGCCCTATACAAGCGATTAAACGGCGAGTTACATCATATGTCACGTCACTGACAGGAAGCAGTACCACGCATGAGCCGTATTACATCATATTCGTAACATCGCAAGTAATTCAAACCGTTGCGGAATCGTATGGAAAATTATTTAATTTTAAATTTATGTGTTCTTCTATCGAACGTTCATGTTCGATTAAAACATTTTATTCGCCTGAAGACGACGGAAATATATATTCGTCGAAAGCGCTCGAATGAACGAAAAAACGAGTAATAACGCTAAACACAGTGAGTTTTAACTACTAATTAGCATATTTACCTGATTTAACACCTTTAAAGAGCCAGTTTTAGAATCAGTTCATCCCTAGAAAATATTTTGGTGTGCTCCTGCATATTTTAATTTAATGAAAATTTAATATTCTGAATAAAATGAAAAATGCTGTGCCAATCAATGTTTCATTGAAAATCACTACTGATGAGAATATTGTGGACTGTCAGACTGATGTTGTTTCTCCATAAACACAAATGGTACATTTACATTACAAACAAGTAGTGAGATGACTCATTTTAGATGGCTGTTAGAAAGAAGGAAAAATTATTTGGTTATTCTTTGTTCATTTTCTCTGCAGTAATGGGTGTGTAATAAACTAAAGAAATGCCTGTTAAGAAAAAAACCCATCTTTGTCAGTTGAAGAGGTGGCACAGTAGACTTTGGTTCCAACTGGTCTGTTAGTTTCACAAATTTTTGCTGTGAAGAAAGAACGGCAATCAACAGGTATAAAAGTGGAGTAGCTAGTTAAAAAGAGATTTCTCATGATGAAAAGACAAATTCATCACATTTCATGTCTCATCTACATTCATCAGTTGTTTTTAGAAACAAATCTCACATGACTAAATCCATTTTTCATTAACTATTTTGTAAATTTGGATCATTAAGTATGATAAGCAATTATGATCATCATCAAGATATGAACAGTTCCTTCTTCAGAGAATGGTTTGCTAATTCTCAAAAGGGAAGTGCTGAGTGGACTCATAAAATCTCTAAAGTTTCATATTCTTAAACACATAGCTAAGTATTTTAATGTTATATGTCATATCTACGACCATATTTTGTCTAGAATACAAAAAACTGTGAAAGATTTACATACATGACATGCAGATTTTTACAGTAGTAAATAAGTTGCATGTATTAATAAAAGAAAATGCTTTAACATTTATTGGAAAGAATATATTTTTATTTTATTCCATTCCTTGATTGAAACTATGAACTCCATTCTATTGTGGCCGTCGGCCATAATATTGTATAAAATATATTAATTTTAGTTAGTTTTAAGTTTCTTTGTTCCTTTATTTCTGACTTTTCTAGAACCTTCCTTTCCAACCTTTTCCCTTGGGTGGGATTAACAATCCCAAGAAATGGGAATGGAACAAAGGGTGAAGTGGGACCCTAAGGCAAAAAGGAACAAAGGAAAGAGCAGTCGAGGTGGAACTCTCGAGGAGGACTGACGAGAGAAGGTAGTGCTCTGGATCGCGTGTGAGACGATCGGAGACTACGAAGCTAAAGGAGAAGTCTGGGCTCGAAGTCCGTAGAATAAGGACGGAGAAGTGGTGCAGCGTCAGATTGAGTGTAAAACAATTAGAAGCTACGAGGAGCCAGCGAATCGATAGGAAGAAACTCTTATAATAGAATTTTAGAGGAAGCCATCGAAAGAATCGTACGAAAAGACATAAAGGAAGGACGAGAGACAACGTCCCACGGAAAGGTCCACGTGGTGTTCCACCCAAGGTTTCGAATTCAAAGTCCCGGGTATTTCCTTCTCCCTCTTATACTTTATTATTTCTCTACTCTCCTTTTTTTTCCCTTTTTAGTCATAAGTAGTGTAAGAATTATTTGTAAGTTTTTGTATCGCGTATAGTCGTAACCCTCAATTAATCCGCTGTTTGTTAGATCGAATTTTAACGCCTGTACGTACAGTGATCATTGTATTGTTGGGATCTGGAAGAAACGAACCTGTTTCGAAGTGACAATAAATATCTTTGTGTTCAATACATCCAAAGTGTATTTATTTCGTACCTTTCCGCTCGCGGGACATTGTACTTGTCGCAACGAAACACCACACTATGGCTTTCAAAATGTCTCTTTTTTAAACCTCTTGGATATTGTTGATATATCACACAACAATGTATTAATTAAATTTACTTTTGATTTTTATATTATCCTTCTCCCATATATCAGTCATTGGACAAAATTTCAGCTCCTTTAATAAAATCTTTAAAAGATTTTTTGTAGGAGGCTTCCTTTACCAAATCAGAGCTGCAGTTATAAAATGACTAAACCTATATTTTGGAGTAATTCAATAAATAAATATGACAAAGTGACCTTTTTAAAGATTTGAACACAGAAGAAATGTTTATTGTTTAAAATGCTATCTTTTGCTGATTATTTTATATGTAATTCATCATCATAAATATCTTGAGTGAATCCATGTTTTTCCTCTCTATTATTTCTGTAATAAATGATTAATATTACTATTTTTAAATAAAGACATTAAAAGTTTATCATAAAGTGAAACATTTTTCATATTTACTTTACTGCATTCTTTTTTGTTTCTCCAAATATAATTGTTTGCCTAAAGAATTCATTAAATAATTATCACAAAAAATAAAATGTTGCTATTTTAAAATTGTTGAAAAGTAGTTTAACTAAAACAAACTATCAGTTTTATAAAGTATTTGTGCCAGTAATGAGAGAGAATTTCTAATAAGTTACAATTTATCTGATACAGCAATTTCTATCTTAGTATAAATTTTGTTAGTAATAATAAAATTTTGCCTTATATTAAATTTATTGTTGATGAAATCTTTTTTCTTTGTATGAAAACTATTGAAAGGATGAAAAGTTTCAGATTCAGAATTGAAGGACTGAAAGTAATTAAAATTTTCAATACTTGAAACAGAAAAATTATCATTGTTATTCTCAGTTTTCTGAAAAACAAAAATTATCATCAGGTTCATTCTTTCATGTTGGATGGATTCCAATTTATCTTCACGCTCATCTTCAATGTAAGTTGGTTGTTCAGATGTAGTATCTCTCTAAATTATAAAAGTAAAATTATAGGTTTATTATAATTTATTATAAGTTTATATTACATATTGAATAAGTTTTATTCAATTACCTGTAAAAGGTGCGTAAAACTATGACTTATTTTATTTTCATAATTTTCAGTTGTTTTTTTAATTTGTTTAGTGGCATGTTATTCTAAATAAAGAATTTAATAGTTAAATCTCAAAAATATATTCATTAATATAATAATAAAAAACTGTTAATAATTGCCTGGTTGTTTTCCAATTTCTTGCAGCAGTTTGTGGAAGATGAAACTGTTTGCTTGGTTCTAAATACAATTTGTAGTGTCTTTTCATAAACTGAACTGAATTTGAAATATGTAAAATATTGATAAAGATTTTTATAATTACAGATTTACTTTTTATTAGTTAACTAATGTATGCAGATTACTTTGGAACAGCTAATGTTGTAGACAATGGTAACCATGTGATGACTATACTGCATTGTGTAACTAACCAATTGTAAAGCATGATCACTTGTAAAAAATTTCAGTGAATGACTAACCAAGAAAAGCTTTAAATTTCTTTCTGCCAAATCAAAATAGGTTTTTTAAACAAAATTTAATAATGCACAATGGCCAAACGAATAATTGAAGAGCTAAAGATATTTATATAGAATAGACTTCTTGAAACACAAGTATACCAGTAGTCACATCTTTCTTAGCATATACTTTAGATGGATTTAGCTATATCACATGCCTATGTTAGATATATTGATAATAAGCACACAGAAATAGTTCCAATACATCACAAAAAATTTTCAACCAAAAATTTTGAGGATATTCAAAAACAAACTATTTATTCAATATATTGGAAAGATCCTGATTTGAGGAAGAGAGATTTTTATAAAGCTCAAAGGTATATATTTTTATAATACTATTTATGATGAATGTTCCTGTATTAAATGTGATGTGATACAATTAATATAATTATGTACAAGGCCATACATATCTTCATTACTGTTATAGAAATAAAATCAATCATCATATATCTACCTTCATATTAATGTAAGATAATTCTTCAGCATACTATATGGAAAAATATCAAATTAAGCAATTCAGGAAAAAATAATTCCTACTAACAAACTCTTTGTATTTCTATTACATCAGAATCAGTAAATATTAAATTATTTCCAATTTCTTAACAAAACAAGATTAAAAAAAAAATCACAATCTTTCATTATTTGTAAATCAGTCTGAATAAAGCAAACACTTCAAAAATGAAAGATATTCTAAACATAAAAATCTGTAAGAGAGAAAAGAAGGCTTTTAGATTTTAAATTTTCAACTTCAATATATCATATGAAGTAAAAATTAGATTGAAAAAAAATTAAGTGGCTTAGAAGGAATAGGAATTAGAATTGGAAGGAATAGAAACTAAAATTTCTGCTTGAAGGCATCTACTTAATATTCTTAGTTCTTTTTTTGTATGTTTAGAACAGGAGAAAGTATTTTTATTACTGTCTAAAAATATATGAATAATTATTTAACAATACTAGCAAAAAAGTATTACATTTCTTAAAATTGTAAAATTTTATCCACATATTTATAATCTTTCAAATAATACAGAAATGTATAGTTACTTTATAAATATTAATATTCAATGAATACATTCTTCTAAAATGTAAGCTTCAATTTTTATTTTTAATTACTTTTTTAAACATCATTGTAAACAATTTACACTGCTAGTCATTAATATTGTAACACCAAGAATGACAATATAAATAGCAATATTTATATGATAGATTTTATGATTAAAAGTACAGTTTAGGCAGATGCATGCATTAGAAAAATTGATGCCTTTCTATTTGTAAGGACATGTTTGGTCCTTATTAGTACAGTAACAACTAGCAGTCATTTACAGCAAAATTTGTTGTTGTCTTTTAAAGAAAAAAAGGGAACAGGTCCATGTTCCTTGTGTGAAAATTTTTCAGTGGTGTTTCTGGCAAGCAAAATTTGCATTTTCACACTACCATGACTTATCCAACCTGAAAATTTTGGACCAATATAACTTCTATCAGTGTTACAATTTTAATGGCTAATGATGTTTTTGAATTACTTTATTGTCCATGTAACAAACTAAAAATATACATTTTTAATATAGTTTATTTCTTTATAATCCTTTCACAATCCTTGAAAAAATGATTATTTATCTGTTACAATGCATAGTAAGATTAAATGGTTTGTATGCATTAGAAAAACAATCTGAAATAAAATTTGAATTAACATCTAGAATTTTAAAAAATATAAATTAATTAATTTTAATATTTTTTGCAGATACAAGGCTTTTTAAAACATATGTATCTAACAGTGAATCTGCAGTCTCACAAGGGAGAGCTGGTAAAGTAACTATTTTATACTAAATGAAATAATTAAGAGACTGGAATGTCAAAATTTTTTAGCTTATTTTACTGTTTAATACTAGATACACATTGAAGCTGACACTTGATTATAAAAAAGTTGTAGACATACATTACTTCTTCAGGAAATAATCCTTCCATCTTTGTTAAAAATTTAGCAATTGCTATTAGGGGTAGTGGAAAATTTCAGTGAAAATGCTACAAGGCTAGAATTATGATAAGAATAAAGTATCAAGGAAACATCTTTCATCTGAAAAGCTGACTGTTATAGAGTAAGTGGAGAGAGTATGTACATTTCTAAAAATTCTTTCTTTGATTATTATAAAAATACATAGTAGCAAGTGAATTCATACTTTTCTATGTAACATTTATCTGATTATGTTATCATTTTGTATATAAGTAGTTGATTACTTTAATTACTTCTACTTCAAAAACTGTTGTAAAATTATATACACATTTACAATACATTTTTGTATTGTAAATGTACATTTACATTTCATCTGTAAATGTTTTTTACAGATGAAATGAAAAATATTACTAAATTTATAAATGAAAAAATAAATACAAGATAAAAATTACTAATTTACATGAAAATGTTTTAAATTTTATAACCTTCTTTATCCTTCTTTCTTTATGTATATGTTACTGTGAAAGACCGAAATTAGAGAATGTCGATATTCTCCAGTGAATGTCGACACATACAAAATACATCGGTGAAAGACCAAATATTTGGTTATATTATTATACATTCAAACAATCGCCGATGTATGTTGACAAGCATAGATAAGCTTTGGTGGAGGTTGAAACGACACCCGAAAAGCCAATGTCAACAGAGATGCGATAGTCTGTCGCCAAATCCTTTGTGAGTAGCCGGAGGTAGGACAAGGTTGTACCTCTTTTCCCGGCAACGGTTTGGTGGAAATTGCCCACTTTGTCACTGGATGGTGTTTTTGTTCTTTTGATTCCGTGAGGTGGGGATTTGTTAGTCAGGTCGAATGGCGGAGGATGAGAGGGGTCGTCGGTAAGGCGTCAGCGATATCCGAATAAAAGACACCATTAACAGATCAGTTCATAATTTGTAAAAAAAAGTTACTTTCCATACATGAGATTTCTTCTCAAGAAATATCGCCGAGAGAAGCAGCTATAGCTAATTCGAAAAGTGGAGGGCAAGGCTGTACACGCTGTCATTGCAAAAAGAAGTGTTCCACGAATAAATGCAGTTATAAAAGCAAGGGACTCAAAGTGCCATAACAGTTTAAGTTATTGCAACAAATAAGATTGTAAACCATTAATCACATAATTTCTGTGTATGTGTAATTTTGTGTATTATTTTTCTTTTCTGATTAAGAATGTACTGTTCGTTTTAGGTTCAACAGTTTATTTACATGTGCTGTTTGTTACTTAAGCTTTCTCCTATTTTGACATATTAAAAAGTTGCATTTTTGTCTTAACGTAATAAACATACTTTTATTCAACATTCATCATCAGTGCATGCTGAATGTCGACATTTGCCGGTGTAAATGAGAAATAATGATATTTAGCAAATATTTCATACATATATGAAATGACTGTGTGAATGCTGATATTCACCGGAGAATGTTGACATTCGCCAAATATCAGTCATTCACAGTAACATATATATAATTAATATATATATATAAATACTTTGTTTATCAGAAATGTAGCACTATTCTTAGATTTTATAGAAATAATTTTGGCATGTAAAGACTGAATGTTTTCTAAAATAATTTGACATTTTGTATTACAGGTAGGCCTCCTACAATGCGGTACCTTTACAATGCGTTTTCACTCCAACGCAGTTGGAAAAATGCAGAAATTTTCTTACAACGTGGTTTACGGTATTTAAAAACGAATTATCTTTCACACAACAGAAAAATCGCAACGGATCACATAATATGCACCGCAGTTCGGTGTACAGAGCTAAATGTCCTCGAAAACAGCTGTTTTCAAGGACACTGTCCACGTTGACGTGTTATTCCCATGAAAGTTTCAGGGAAGACCGGTTTCTAGACAGATGTGCATCAGTTACCATAAACACTCAAATACATCACTGAATTTTTGATAATTTATACTCTTTCAATAGGTGGGGACTGCAAAAGTGGTCCAAAATACAGTATAAACTTCTATTGGGTATATATTTTTAACAACATAGTGAAAGGAAGTTATTTTTTTTTTTTGATTTTTACTGTCCACAAAACTGCTTGAGAAAATTTTAGCCATAACAATGTCGAATGAAAAGAAAGGACCATCGTTAAAAAGGAAATTGATATCTCTTCAAACAAAGATAGAAATTTTGGATCGAATTAAAAATCAAGAGCGGATAGATGATATTGGTAGGCATTTTAATTTAAATGAGTCTATTATTCGATCGATTAAGCAATAGTAAGAAAAGATTAGGAATTCAGTCGCATCCGGATCATCTATTCTTGCGAAAAATGTTGCTCGTCCGAGAGCACCTATAATGAAAAAAAAAAAAAAAAATGGAACAAGCACTAATATTATGGATAGAAGATATGAACAAGAAATGGTTGCCTTTAAATAAAAGTGCAGTTAAACACAAAGCCTTAAAAATATTTGATTATTTAAAATAAATAGGACAGTCGTCAGCTGATGAAACCAGTGTTAAATTCGTGGCTAGCAATAGCTGGTTTGAAAAATTCAAAAAATGCCATTCAAACGCCAAGTTTTTCTCTTTTTAGAACCGAATCCCAGTTTTTGTATTAAGTTGGTGTCTCCTATAATGCGATTTCCCACAACACGATATTTTCAAGGAACGTATCTACCGCGTTGTAGGAGGCCTACCTGTACTTAATAATAGTCAATTGAGATAGCACTTGGTTTCTGATTGATTTCAAATGATACTATACAGAAGTGATATCACTTGTAATCAAGTAATGTCATTTGGTCATTTGAAACTTTCAAAATTCACTTCAGACATGAAATTTTAATAGGTTATGCCATTGCAAAAAGACAATAATTATAGCATATAATATATATTGAGTAAAATCTGCTTATTGTAAGTCACAAACATTCATGCAATGTCATAAAATTTTCCTTACTGTAATAAGAATTTTAAAGTATTTTTTAGTTTACACATTTAATTATCATTATCTTGAAGTAAATATTCATTTTTAAGCAGTCTTTTTATGCTGTTAGCTTCAAAATAAAGCTGATATAAATTGTGCATTATCACTTTTAATATTTTAAATATTAAAACATAAATTTAGTGTTACTTGTTTGTAGGACAGTAGTTTAAATTATTGGTTTTTCTTACTTCAAATATGTGATAGCTATTGTTAAAGACAATATTGCAAAAAAAGAAACAAAGAGCAAACAACTCTAGACAATTACTATTAAATATATAATATATTATTATTAATTATTAAAAACAATTAACTTTGAGATTTAATAATTGTCTTAGCATGTCCTTTTAATATTAGTCAAAAAACTAGAATTTCTACTAATTGTAATTGTATTTATCATAATTTTCTGTGGATAACCCATGACAACATATATCCTATAGGAAATTGCTTGAACAAAAAGAAAGCCCTTGCATAGCTTGCCCCCACTGTATGGTAACCCATAACTATAACAACAGCCATTGAAATCATGACATTTATTGACATTCAGCTTAGAAGATTACATCTACAATGAAGCAAGTGAAATGAAATGAAGTTCAAGAGGTTCCCTCTTATTTTTCTGTTTTTTTTTTCAAGGGTGGAAGATACAAGTGTCTGTTGAATGACAAAATTTTTTTTATTACAATCATTTCATTTATTTTATTTATCAAGTAGCAGTAATCTACTTATATAAGCCATTGATCCCACTATTTGTATATCTGTAATCTGTCACAGAACGCCTAGAATCACTAGGGGCGTCCCTAGAGATGATTTTCAGCTATTATTTAAATTAACAGTATAATTTATTTATAACAGTATAATTCAGTATATTATTTTTATTTGTAATAGGAATTTATTATTGATATGAATTTATTATTTATACCATGGAATGACACTGCTGCTGCTAGAACGCTCACTAGGGGGCATCCCAGGCTCTCTCATATAATAATAAATGTTAAAATAAACAAAAAATAATTTTAATGAATTTGGATATTATTCACATAAAAAGTTAATGATATGAATTTAATAGTTGCTTCCTCATCTCTGATATGGAAAACTTTAAGTTTAGTTCATATAGACATTTGCTAGCAAAAGTAGGATGTGAAAACAAAAGTTTATTTTTGCATAGCAAATTTGATTCTCACTTTTGCAAAAGAAAAACAAAATAAGCAATAATGTATACTACACCATACATTGTTAAAAACAAGATGACAATTGATAACAGCAAATTTTTTTTATACTTTTATTTATTCAAAAGAAAATTTTAAAATTAATTAAAATAATTGTCAGCTATGAAGAATTATTCTTACATGTTTAAAACTCTTGCTTTCTTATCTCCAGGAATTTGTTGTTCCAATTAGTAGTGAATGCTTTTTTCAGTAGCAGAAAAGTTCAGCACGTTAAAATGTGATACCTATTTCCCAGAAAATACCTAACTATATTTGTTCATCTTTCTGATTTTCACCTGCAATTCTCTGTATGAACTAAACTTAAAATTATATAGGAGAAAATAATCTCAAAAGATAAACATTGTTGTTATTAGATAATAATAATAAAAATTAATAATTATTATAATTATAGCAGTGTTGATGGAGGATATCCTACATGTCATATACCAGTGCTTAGTGTTATCCTTGACCTTGTATCCAGCATAACTACAGAACAAGTTATAAATGTGTTCACAGACAGATACATACTCTTTGTGTATGTGTGTTTAATATAGTACCTTCCATAGTGTGAAGTATTTTTTTTTTTTTAATGAATAAATGGCTATGTCTCTGTCAAGCCTGCCACTTTTTGGTTCAGTGTGTCTTTGAAACAGATCAAAGTAGTCATGTATGATTTATACTTACTTGTAAGGTATCCTACTCACTATCTGTGAATGCATAACTTGCAAAAGTGATATTTCTTGCACAAGTTTTACACTTTTTAAATATGACTATTGGAAAAGTCTCTTATCCATTCTCCACATAAATTTTTTCTGGGTAAATCCTGAATATTTACTAATTTTCAGTGTACGTATTTTAGGTGTTTGGAACAGATATATCTGTGATTTTGTTTTGTTTGTGAATAATAGTGATGTCTGGTCTGTTGTGATGGATTGGCCATAATATATTTTGTGTGAGTTGTTATGATTCCAGGGTGTATAGAAATTTGTTTGTATTAAAGCTTTTGATGTATATATTTACTATTTGATTTTCTCAATGTGTATGTGTTAGAAGCTTGCAACCTGATATGATTTATTATATAGTTTTGTGCATGATATAGTATTACCTGTAAATGTTGTCTTTTAAGATTTGCTTTCTCTATTTTCTTGTATTTATGGCCTGGTTTTGTATGGCAACCATAAATCCTTTTGTCTATCCAATGAGTTATCCATGAGTCAGCCAGTAGTTTAACACACAGTTCTGTCAACATGATCCTGGCTGAGATTGTTAGGGTGCCTACCATAGAGCTCTTTCTGAGTTCAAGATTGTCTGTTGATGTCTGTGCGTTTTGTGTACTGTGTCAATACACAAAATCTACAAACAATTCAGGTCAATGTTATGTAAGTTTAATGGTTACTGTTTTTATCTGTAAGAGTTACACCTGTATGTAATTGTGATGTTTCTTGTTTTCTATAGAAAAATTCCCATACTGTCTGTATTTGTTTGTAGTGCAGGTTTAAAAGTATCCGTGAAGCCTCATCCTCTCTATAAGAAAGAGTCAGCCTTTCTATGTATTACTTAAAGTGGCATTCCTTATATTTGATTAATGTTGTTCGAATTTTCTTTTGGAATTGTTCTAGTTCTGCGCAAGTTCTAGAATCTGATTATGGTGTTGGGTGGCCTCTTCTATATTCTCAAATAAAACATCATGTGATGAGCAGAAACAAGGTCATAAATAAATCTATGGATATAGTGATACGATATCTGAAACCATGATTTGTTCATTGTCCATCAACAAAAGCTCAATCTACCTGCTAACTTGTGTGCATTTTATTTGCAAATATAGAAGAGGCCACCCAACACCATAATCAGATTCTAGAACTCACACACCTATTATGTTATATGTCCTTTTTCTAGTTCTGTATGTGTGTATCCAATTTATAACTACATATTCGTACGTAAGTACTGGGACATGTGTGTTTTGCATTCAGCTGTGTTGTTAGTATTGAGTTTTACAAAAGAATACAACAGATTATTCTGTTTGATTTGTGCATATTCTGTAAGTTTGGCCTTTTAGAATCCTAAATATTTGTAGACTGCTCTCATCCATAGATTCAGTGTCATTTCTGTTTTCAAGTACATTATTATTATTTGATAAATAAAATAAAAATGAAGTAATATATAATAAAAAATTTTTGCCCTCAGTAGCAACTTGTTCAAAAATGTGCTTCCTTATATGGTATATCAACAGGATACTGAAATTTGTTTTCTTCATTCAATTACTATTTAAAAAAATATTACGCAAAAAATTTATTGTACTATTTTCTTCTAGCTCAAAAGTTGTTATTAATATTTTAAATTGCATATAAAACAAATTTTTAAACTATAGAGTTTAAAAAATGAAGCAAACAAATCAAAATAATACTGCTGTGTGTAAACAAAACAAAACATTGCATAGTCAACTAGGGTTATTGTTTTAAATGTATACAATTATTTGTAGTCATCAAAATGCTCTTTTCATCACTAAAAAGCTTATTAGAATGGCAAGCACCATATCATGTCTTAACCATCAAAGTTCTTTGAAATGATATTATATATATAGCTAAGAAGTAATTTGGAAATTTATTAAAACTCCTACTTCCCTACTTGAATGATGATAATATTAATTATACTGAGGATTGAATGGGAGAGAACTAAAAGCAAGGTATACATATATGATCTTTGGTGTTTTTAGGAAAAATTGCAATAGCAGAAGAATAAATTTGTAGTACCCCAAGGATTTTTCATGTTATCTAAAGACACACTTAGCTTTTCCTTCATCTGAAGTCACTAAGTGTTTGTAACTGCAATTTAGAGTTGGTATATAACTTGGGCCTCACCACATAAATGGAACCTGCTTAATGTTATCAGTTGATCATCACCATCATCAGTGTACGTGAGTTCCATAGTGATTACAATAAGCGAATTCACTGTATTATGTATTATCTGCTATCAATACATGTCATTTGCTTATTCTAAATTCACTTGTACTTAGAATAATATTTTTACTTGGTAATTATAATCTTTCAACTTACTATATAATATAAACTGAAAAGAATTGAATTATGCCTGAATACATTGTAAACTGAATTATTTTAGTTAAAAAAATTTTACCTTGTAATGTGATTATTAAGAAGATTTCGAACAGCTGTCTGTGCAGCTGCTGATGATACACGCAATGCAGTCATCCCTTCATTATTACATACTGAAAAATTTGCTCCATGATCTAACAGTTGCTGAACAACATCAAAATGGCCTTTTCTACTAGCCTATAAAATATTTTAAAAATTAATCATAATATATAAACAAATTTATTTTTTCATAAAAATTAAATTAAATGCAGTATTTTCTACCATAATCAGTGCTGTTTCCCCTTTAAAATTCTTTATTTCTTTTTTCGCTCCCATTTCTAACAATGTAAGAACCATTTTAACATCTCCCTAAATAAAAAATAATTTATTTGCAATAATTGAAATTTAAAACAACATAATGAAAATTAATCATTAAAATTCACATTTAATTTCATATAAATTTAGAAATGTTAAAAATTAAAAATACCTGTTCACTGGCAACCATTAAAACTGTACAACCACTTTTTAATTTTAAATTAACATCTTCACCTTGACTGATTAGTAATTTGGCTTCTTCTGTGTCTCCTTTTAACACAGCTAAAGCCAAGGGGGTTATTGTGTTGTTAAACTGTTCATCATTCCAACTTCCATGTAATTTTATATTATTTTTATAATCACCATTTTTGACATTTATGCAATTTTCTATAAAATGAATAATTAAATCATTAAGATATTTTTCTTTTCTTTTTTAAAATTTATCAAACAAATATACTTACTTGTTAAAGCTGTGCTTGAGGAGTTAGTAGAATTCATTAATTTTATATTTTCTTCATTGAATATCTAATTATAAACATTTGTAAATATTAGACAATTTACATTATACAAATGGTAATTTACATTTATAAAAAAATTTACATACTGATGAATTAGAATTATTTTCTTGTTGAGAGTCTTCTTTTTTTGATGAAGGTATAGCGGTGTCTATAGGAAGAAGCCGTGATTTAGCATTACATGCTGTAATTTTGTATCCATCTTCAGTATTTTTAATTAACATTCTTGAATCTGGACCCAAATTTAATGGAACATTACTGAGCTTTATATTTTCAACCAAAACAGAACAATTTAATGACCAATTAGTCTCTTTCTCTTTCGTTCCATTTGTTTTTCTGGATTTCTGCAATAATTTTTCATTATTTATTATTTGGGATCTCTGCAATGCATTTAATGGGATGTTCCTTTCTTTATTTTTATGCCTTTTTATCCATTTTGTAGTCAATTCAGTATCTTCTGGTTCACTTTTTTCTGAAAGTTTCTGAGATGATTTATAGTCATGATTAAATATGTCTGATTCTTGATTATCAGAACCTGTAACATCAGCAGATTTGATGATAATGTTTTGTCTTTTGTTTCTTCTCCTCTGAAATGTGTATGTTAAGTTAGATTGAAGAACACTGTGTTTTCTTTTTGATAAACTAATACTGTTTTCCTTTTTGTTGGAATCTTTGGAGTTAGAACAACAGTCTCCTAAACTGGTCACCACAGAATCTTGTAGTTTTTCTTTTTGACTACGAGCTTTTTTGACTCTACTATACATATCTTGTTCAAATACATTAATTTTGCCTTCCTCAAAATCTTTCCAAAATGTATCTTTTGGTGGAACTGGTTTATCATTTGCTTCTAAAGCATCCTATTTTAATAAAATTTATCAAAATTAAAAATTACATAATCATATGATATAAAGCTGAATGTAAATTTTTATTGTAATGTTCTTAAACTTTTTGAAAAATACAAAATTAGAATAAACTGCTTAACTGAAGTAAACAGATGAACAAGAATTAAGAGAAAGAAAACAGACACTTAGTCTTCTGAATTCTTAGGACTGTAGTTAAAACTATCCTAATACAGCCTTGATAAAATACATTTTCTAGATATAGCTACCTAATAAATAAGTCACCTAATCTTCATTTTTTCCCTCAACAATTTGGCTGATGTAAGTTGCTTATTAATTAGTTGTAATTCTCAACTTTATTTTTACAGGTTAGTTTATTTATTTATATTTTTATTCTATTATCTTTTATTTTTCCATGCACCATACAGATTGTTTTTGTTTTTCCTTATCATAATGTAAAATTAAATACAGTAAGACCTTGTTTAGCACTTAGAATGCATTCCTAGACAATAAAGCACTAAATGAAAACAGCGTTAAATGAGGTCATTTTAACATATGGTAAATAGGAAAAGAAAAACAGGCAAAGTAAAATTTGTTTATTTTTGGTTAATTTTAAGTTATTTTTATATTAATTTGCATAATAATATATGTTACATAACACACAAACATATGCACACAGAAATATAAAGTTTGTTTTTGTGATGAAGGTCTTGGCTCTTCTGAAATTCTTGACTTTTTTTTTTTTTGCAATGAAGTTGTCTAGTGTCATTTGTCGCTTTCTTTTTCTCTCATTAAGTAAATGTCGGTAGCAGAAGAGCACATCCAAAACACCTTGTCTTGTTTTTGCAATCCTTTCAAAATCTGGATCATTTGCTACGATTTGATTGATTTCAGTTATCATTACCAAATTTTTACTCTATAGCAAGTTCTTTGGGTTCCTTGTTTTCAGAATCATTATTTTCCAGTTTTACATGAATTCCTTGTTCTGCCAGTTCTTGAAATTCGTCATTAGTAAGACTCTCACCAGAAACCTATAGTAACTCGTCAATATCCTGCTCATCCTCCCAGTCTTGCTGTATCGATTAGGTTGACAATTTGGTCAACAATAGGCTCTTCTCCTGAGAATCCTTGGATACTTCTAGCCATATCTTCTTACTATATCTTCTTTGTTCATGCATTTATCAGTTAATTCTTGTCAAGCAAAGTAGATATTGCCTATGGCATCCATGATGTTATATTTTTTCCAAAATTGCACCAAATATAGATTTAGAGGAAGTACAGCACTACAACAAATTGCCACCTTTTGCTGATTGGTTTGTGTTTAGGAATAATCTTGTTATATACAAATTAACAAAATGCCATGATAATTTGAATCAAAGTAAATTTTGACCCTTTTTTTAGACTTTGAGTAGACAGTATTATATTGAATCAGTGTTAATAAAGGAAGTGCTAAATGAGGTCTTATGTATCAGGTCAGTCCATAAGTTCGTGGGTATTTTATTACCTTGAGAAAAATCTTGTTTTGCTGTTAAAAATAACAGTCTAATGTGATACCTTTTACACTGAAGTGTTAAATTGGAGTCATTCATATAATACTGTTCAGAATTGGGAACATTTCAGTTGTTTATTTTCGTTAAAATGGAAGTAACACATGAATATAAGAGACATGTTTTATACTTTTTATTTTTATGTGATGAGAATGCTACAAATGCAACCAAAAAATTAAATACTGTTCATAATCAAACTGTAATTAGTGTAAGGACTGAGCAGAAGTGGTTTGAAAGATTTAGAAATAATGATTTTAGTGTGGAGAATAAGGCTCGTACTGGAAGACCCGTTGACTTTGATGATAATGCTCTCTCTGCACTAGTTGAAGCAGAACCATCTTTAACAGTTGATGAAATTGCGGAAC